TGCCCTACCGTTACAGTATATTACCAACATATCGTGATCATATCTCACATGTTCAGTATTTTTACCATAATTTTACTATCATTGTAATTTCCCAGACTTGTTCCTGAAGAATGCAATTAAATGTATACCGCCCACTATAGGAAAACGTATATAATAATTTGTGATTTACGAAATTACTAGTGTAATAATTATGTCCTAATAATGCACATAATTTAATTAAATGCTATTAAGTTGAATATTTCATTCATGTTCTCACCTCATCCAATCTTAGCAAGGTTATAGTGATGGTCTTTTTCTTTTATAGACAATATATATATGCAGAGGTATGCAATTTTACTGTTTTTATGGATAGATCATTTTCCCTAAATTGAATTTACTGGTTATGTTTTCTGTCTCTGGAGGAAAAGTATAATACTATGCCATCTCCATATTTAACTATTTGTGTATAATATTGTAACGTGTTTTGTTACTGAAGACGCCATTCGGATTGTTAATTGGTTTATTTAACAACCTACAAGTATCTGCTACAATTATTTATAACACAGTTTCGGGGTTTCACACTTTATAACCCTATTCGCAATAATCTGCTTACACTGATGTGGGGTTTCACACTTTATAACCCTACTCGCAATAATCTCTTCACTCTATCTTCAATAGGCTACCCGTATTCGCAGTATGGGAGCTATGTAAGTGTTCCTGTATGACACACCCACTGTCTTCGGCGGCTGCTATATTTCACGGCACCACTCCTTAACACACGCTAACTCATTCACTGCTGACTGGAGAACTCACTTCGGCAGCTGATACACTTTAACCCGTTCATTGCTGATTGGAGAACTGTCTTCGGCTGCTGATACACTTTCAACTTACAGCAACAACTGAACTCGGTGACAGCCACATTTCAACTCGCCTCGCAGGCAGTGCAGCTCTTTTATATAGTCGCAGTGTTTGCCTGTTATGTAGCAACGCTGTTGGAAGTTGTTTATGGGTACATAGCAATTGAGGCGTTGTGCCTTATGTCACCACTGAGGGGGGGGGGACGGAGCGCTGATTCATCCGTCACGTCACTGTGGCCAGAGTTGCCACGTCACTGCTGGGTAGGGAGGGGTTGTCCACACTGCTCCCTCCTTAAGGCTGTTCGTCCCGAATAGCCTAACGGTGCACCCACGTTCCTTTGCTTTGGAGGCTGTTCTTGCAGTACTGTTCTCCGGCCATTACAACTGCTCTCCTCTTAAGACCAGCTCGTCTCGAGTGGTTTCCTTTCAGCTCGCCAGAAGATCCAGTTGTATCGCATTCATTCGTCACACATTCAGCCTTGTTCGGGAGGCCGATACTTCTACGTTACTGGTTCATCCTCTACCCATAGTTTCTTTTTCCGCTTTGGAGGGGGCCTACCCTTCCATAAGGTCCAGTTCTTGATCGTTTCTGTGTTGCTTGCTGATCTTCCAGCCGCTTGCTGGTATGAGACCATGGCGCCAAGTACTCTCTCCGGTATCCGAAGGTTCCCTGGGGAGTTTCCTTCTTGAAGGCATTTCTCCAATGTCGTGCCACTGTTGCATGACGGGATCCCTTCCAGGTTACTTGTTCCACATTGTCTGTGTTTTGTCCCATACGCCTGTGTCCTGCACAGCGTGGAATTATTATTCCGGTGGCGGTCACTTCTTTCCGCTGGCATCCGAAGGTTCCCTGGGGAGTTTCCTTCTTGATCAGCTCTGATTTCCTTCAACAGGAGTTCCATCATCTGCTGTGATCCCATGTTCTTTTTGCGTGTAAAAGTTCGGATCCCACTTCTGACACCAAGTGTCACGTGTTTTGTTATTGAAGACGCCGTTCGGATTGTTAATTGATTTATTTAACAACCTACAAGTATCGGCTACAATTATTTATAACACAGTTGAGGGGTTTCACAGTTTATAACCCTATTCGCAATAATCTGCTTACACTGTTTTGGGGTTTCACACTTTATAACCCTACTCGCAATAATCTCTTCACTCTATCTTCAATAGGCTACACGTATTTGCAGTACGGGAGCTATGTTAGTGTCCCTGTATGACACACCCACTGTCTTCGGCAGCTGCCATATTTCACGGCGCCACTCCTTAACACACACTAACTCGAAGAATGCAGTCTTCTGGGATTTGGCACCGTGTATATGTGGTGTTAACCGACGTTGTATACAGTATCCCATGCGAGTGCGGGAAAGTCTATATTGGACAGACAGGCCGCTCCGTGGACACGAGGTTGAAGGAGCATCAGCGGCACATCCGTCTCGAACATCCGGACAAGTCGGCCGTAGCTGAACACAGCATCGAACTGGGACACCGCATTCAGCTTCAGAATACCTCCATCCTCGCCACCAAGACGCGCTATATGGATCGCATCATTAGGGAAGCCATTGAGATCGAACTGCATCCAGG